ACTAGTTGGAACTGAAATATTGCATTTGCATTAGATGGGTTAGGAATGGACTGAATTGTTGTATTGGCTTAATGAAAATTGTTGATATAATAAGCTGTGTAGATAAGTATATGATAATTGTATTAATATTACGATTATGACTGTTTTATGTATAAGCTCTCCCTTGCACTTGTTTGTGTTAGGGGGTGTGTGTGTTACGATGATTGTATGATAGTATGTGAACAGGGGTAACAGGTGAGGCACCTACTTCCAATGTTGGAAGGTTTTGCTGAGGGATGTTTGGAGTCATCATGCCTTTTTGGGAGGATTATAGCTTCATTTATTTTGTTAGTCTAGGTCTTAGTAGTGGGTCTAAATTGTTTAGCTATAATTTTCTAAGAAATGTACTTTTGATTATGATTTGTATTTTTGGAGCTCTATGCCAAACAACTCTGGTGTAAATATTGTTAATGTATGATTATATATATGTCTAAATTTTATTATGAGACCTTATTTTATTATTAAATTGTGAGTTTCCACTTTTTGTTATTTTATAAAGGGTAAATTGTATTAGTATGTCATGAATCCTTTCTAAAAAAGGGTCATGACATTTAGTGGTATCAGAGCATGGTTTAGGTCCTACAGGGTGAGGTTTCTAGGCTTCAATTATGCATTCTAAATAAGGAATCTTAGCTATAAATCATATACCGTAATTTTCTAAGCATTAGGTTATGAGGGAATGAGCTTGATCACCTCAGTTCTCTAACGTGGCAGATGCGGAGAATTCTTACATATAAAGGTTGGTGAGTTGTAGGTGAGTCAGGTTGTCGAGTAACGTGCCGCTAGTTGATTTATGAAGAGTTGTTGAGAAAGTCATGTTTGTTATTTGTATTAGTTGTGAGTGTTGACATGATGTTATGCTGAATGGGTTAAAATGTTGTGATAAGTTGTTTAATGCATTGTTGTATGCTAAATTTGTGTATGAGCTGTGTTGATATGTGAATAAGTGTATTGTTTTGTAAATGTGCTTGGCTTGGTAAACTACCTAGATAACTAAATAATTGATTGTAAGATGGGGCTTGCTGTGAATATTCTAAGTTGGTTTTACTTTGTGTTAAGATGGCAAGACCACTAAGAAGACTTGCATTAGATCCTCCTCCACCTGACGAATCAGAAGGCTCACACTATGGAGGCCATGGCAATAACCTGAGGCAGAGTCTAGAAGTTGTTTAGTAGCAGCAAGCAGCAAGTTAAGCAACTGCTGCAGCTAAGGCAGCAGTAGCAGCTACAATTGTAGTAGTACTGCCTCCTAAGTATTAGGGGTTGTCTGAGTTTTGGAAGAGCAATCCCCCTCAAATCACTGGGATTGATGGACTAGACGTAGCTGAGCATAGGATTTAAGAGATTGATAAAATCTTTCTCACCATGGGGTGTGTTGGGGATAGAAAAGTTATATATACTCCATAAATGCTGACACGAGATGCGAAGATGTAGTGGTAGGAAGCTTGTACCATGTTGGAGGCACGAGGAAAGGCCATTACGTGGGAAGTATTTAAGAGTAGTTTTTTGAGAAAATTCTTCCTGCCCTACGTCCGTGCTATGTGTAAGAGAGAGTTCCTAAGTTTGATGTAAAGGAACTTATCTGTGTATGAATATGCTATTCAGTTTGAGTGACTTTACTAATTCTATTCACACCAAACTTTTGAAGAATGGAGATGCCAAAGGTTCTCTAATGGTTTGAGGACAGACATAAAAAAGACTTTAATTTCACTAAGAATCACTGAGTTTGCTGATTTGGTGGATCAAGCCACCATTATAGAGAGCCTTAATCTGAAAAATGTTGGTGGAGTGGGAATGACATAATTTAGTAGATGCAGTGGTAGTCACGAGGGAAGTAAGGGTGCCAAGAAAAGCCCTTATAATAGACCATATTGTCAACAATAGTCTCGACCTTCCTAGTTTGGAAAAATGACTTCATCAGCTTCCAGACCAGTGAGGGTTGCCACCTCTACTCTCTAGCCTAAGGAAGCAAGTGCACCATCTTTTAAAGCCTCAACCCTTATGACAGTCAGATGCTTTAGATATGGAGGACCACACTATTTGAATCAGTGTCCTCAAGCTGGTAATAGAATTTGTTTCTTATGCCAATAGTCGGGACATCTTGCTAAGGATTGCTTTGCTTCCTAGAGTGGAGTAATGTCGTCCATAGCTAGTGCATTACATGCTGTGAGACCCAAAGTAGTTAGGGCCCCACAAATGACAAGGTTTAGAGTAGAGGTACGTGTATTTACTATTTCTGGAACAGAGGCTGCTCATGCTACAAATCTTATTCAGGAGACACGAGTAGTGACAGGTACATCTCTTTCCATGCTTTGCGATTCTAGAGCCACACACTCCTTCATCGCAGATATATATATGAAAAACCTAGGATTATTGGTGAGTGACTCGAGGTGTGTTTTGGTGATGGCAACACCCATTTTGAATTCGGTAACAACCTCAATAATTTGTATTGGATGTCACATAGCAGTTGAAAGATGGGAGAATAGGATTAATCTCATTAGTATTTCTATGTCAGGCTTGGATGTAATCTTAGGCATGGATTGGTTGACTACTAATCATGTCTTGATTGATTGTTCACAATGATGTTTGAATTTTTTTTTAGCAGTAAGGGCTAATGGGAGTGATTTCTACATGCTAAGTAGAGACATCTCTTGGTGAGAGAGCTTGATGCTTCATTCTTTTAGTTGTTATGGGTGCAGAGTGGGATCAAGAGCTTCAGTTGATACCAATGGTGTGAGACTTTCCCAAAATCTTTCCGGATGATGTTACTAGGATACCTTCACCTAGGAAAATAGAGTTTTGTATAGACTTAGTTTTGGAGTCGAGCTAGTATCAATAGCACCTTACTGGATGACGCCGAGAGAGTTGATGGAGTTGAAGGATCAGATTGAGGATCTAATGAAGAAAAAGATGATTAGGCCGAATGTATCACCTTGGGGAGCACCAGTTTTTCTAGTGAAGAAGAAAGACAGAAGTTCTAGACTTTGTGTTAATTACTGTTGGCTGGATAAGTTAACCATTAAGAATAAATACCCATTGCCACAGATTGATGACTTAATGACCCAACTAAAAGTTGCTGGATATCATTAGATTTGAGTTAGAGATGAGATATTCTAAAGATAGTTTTTTTCACTCGGTATGGTCATTATGAGTATGTAGTGATGCCTTTTGGAGTCACTAATGCCCCAGCTATATTCATGGACTACATGAATTTGATCTTTAGACCTTTTCTGGATCAGTTTGTGGTGGTTTTCATTGTTGACATCCTTATTTATTCCAGTTTAATGGAGGAACATGCTGAACATTTAAGGATTATTCTAGTGATTTTGAAGGAAAAGCAGTTGTATGCCAAATTATCTAAATGTGAATTTTGGCTTGAAGAAGTGAAGTTCCTTGGTCATATGATCTTAGCTGAAGGAATTACAGTTGACCCTTTGAAGGTAGAGTCAGTGTTACAATGGGAAAGGCTAAAGACAGTCACAGAGATTCACAATTTTGTGGGCTTGGCAGTCTATTATCGGAGGTTTATAAAAGGATTTGCAAAGATTGCTTCTCTTTTGAGTCGGTTAACTCGCCGAGATTAACCCTTTATATGGACAGAAGAATGTGAACATAGCTTCAAGGAGCTAAAGTAGAGGTTGACATCTTCTCCAGTATTAATCCTCCCTGATACCAGTTGACCTTTTGAGTTATACTGTGATACTTTACATCAAGGTCTGAGATGTGTATTGATGCAAGACAAAAGAGTAGTGGCATATGCATCATGCCAATTACGAATCCATAAGCTGAATTATCCTACTCATGACCTTAAGCTAGCTGCAATAGTCTTTGCTCTGAAGATTTGGAGGCACTATCTCTATGGGACACAATTTGATGTATTCATTGATAAAAAAAAAAGCTTGAAGTACTTGTTTGGTCAATGAGAACTAAACATAAGGCAAAGGCGCTGAATGAAATTTCTGAAAGATTACGAATCCCAACTCTAGTACCATCCCGGCAAGGCCAATGTAGTAGTTGATGCCTTAAGTAGAAGTGTAGTTTAGACTTTCTCTTTAAGAGTTAGTGAGTCTTTTTTAGTAGAGCTACTTCAGGACTTGAACTTACACATGGACTTATTGCCTAAGAGGATCAGTTGTGGCATGATTGTGGTGACTAATGGATTCCTACAAGAGATTAAAGATAAATAGTTGGGGGATCCTAGGTTATGCCAGATTGCGTTCCTTTTAGGCATAGATCGCTATGGGCTTCAATAGAGGTATTGACGGTATCCTTTGATACCATGACCGAGTTTGTTTTTTGATAAGTGTTGAGTTGAGGAGAAAAAATGTAGAAAAAGGTCATAAGAGTAGCCTAAATCTTCATCCTGGGGTAACAAAGATGTATTAGGGTCTGAAGCAAATGTTTTGATGGCCCGGCTTAAGAGGTGAATAGCTAGATTTGTCAATGCCTGCCTGACTTGCTAGAAGGTAAATACAGAACATTGCAGTCCATCTGGAGAATTACAAACCATGAAGATTTTGCAGTGGAAATGGGACAGTGTGACCATGGACTTTGTATCTCATTTATCGAGGACTATTAGGAATCATGATGTTGTCTAGGTCATAGTTGATAGATTGACAAAGTGTGCGTACTTCTTGCCGGTTAACCTGACTTATACCATGCAAAAATTTGCTAAGAACATTAGAGAAATTGTTATGTTACATGGAGTATCTTCTAGTATCATCTCTGATAGGGACCCTTATTTCACTTCCCAGTTCTAGCAGAGCTTTCAAGAAGTTTTGGGTACCTAGTAAAGGCTGAGTTCAACGTACCACCCTTAGACTAATGGTCAGTGGGAGCAAACCATGCAGACCTTAGAGGATTTGCTACAAGCTTGTAATATTGATCAGAAAGGTGATTGAGAGGATATGCTTCCTCTGGTAGAATTTACCTATAATAACAGCTACCATTCAAGAATAGGCATGGTGCCTTTTAAGGCCTTGTATAGCAGAAGATGTCAGACTCCTGTTTGTTGGTTTCAAGATGGAGTTCATTTAATGGTTGGACCCGAGATGTTTCAAAGAACCATAGAGCAAGTTGAGCTTATCCAAAGGAGACAGAGCAACTCAGAGTTGTTAGAAATCATATGCCGATCAATGCTAGAGGCCTTTGAAGTTTGAGGTGGGTGTCCACGTGTTTTTGAGAGTATCACAAACCACAAGCTTTGAGAGCAAATAGCTGATACCTAAGTTCATTGGGCCACATCAGATACTACATCATAGGGGACTAGTAGCCTATGAGTTAGCTTTACCACCTCAATTGAAAAGACTACACAATGGCTTTCACATGTCACAGCTGAGGAAGTACGTCCCAGATCCATTTCATGTAATCAAGCCAGATGTTGTACAGCTACGAGATAACTTGTCAGTTGAGCCTTTAGCTACCTGCATTGAAGACACTAGAGTTAAGGAGCTTAGAGGCAAGTCCATCTAACTAGTGAAAGTCATTTAGGATCTAGTTATTGGTGATGTGACGTGGGAGTTGGGGGATCGGATGAGGGAACAATACCCTCAACTTTTCTCTGACGAATGAATTTTTGAGGACAAAAAATTATTTTCAGGAGGAGAATTGTCAGGCCTGTATTATATGTATACATATTTCCTTTTAAAGATGATGAAGTAATCATTTCACCATGATACCTTTGTATTTTGAATGTGATGTTTTATGTTAATAATAGTATGAAATTACTTGGATTTTGTATGTGTGAGCTGTACAGTTGTTGAATAAGAGCTATACATTTGCAGTGTTGAGAGGTTATTGTTTTTGATACAATTATCTGTGATATGTGAATGATAACTTAAGGATTATAGTCAAGACTTGTATTGCCTTATCTAGGAAGAATTAGGAGTTCTAGAGTATTCTCGCTCGAGCGAGATCAATCTCGTTCCAGCGAGAAGTGATAAGACCTACTCAATTGTCCTCTCTCACAGGTGAGAAGGGATGTCACTCAAGCGAGAAGCGATTTCGCTTAAGCGAGGGCAGCTCGCTGAAGTGAGGAGTCACAGGAAAAATGGATAGCTTTCTTGACCCATTCTGGAAAGTTACATTCATTTTTGTCTCAACAAAGAACTCATACAATCAGAGAACTTTAATAAAAGAAATATGTTAAGTCGAACATATAAACAAACGTATTTAATGTAAACATATTGTTGTGATCTATATACTAAAGACACATCCATGTAGCAGTTAAGTGAGAGTGTTATATGCAAATTGTTTGAACTATCAAATGATATAATTATAAATCTACATGAGTGGTTGAAGTACAAGTTTAAATCCATATGAGAAATTTAAATAATGATGATATTAAGAATCATATGTATGATATTGCCAATTAAACAACAATGATTTACAAATATTGAAGCGAGATCTATATTTCAAAGTATTCAAAACACGTTATCATCTGTTAAATACTAAAGGTTTATTTAGATTTTGATGATTGAAATTTTTTTTATGTCATACTATCTTTTTTAACGACTATGTTCTATTATTTCAATATTGTCTGTTAGCCGATTCATTAAAGGAACTAACGAGACAATAGACCATTAAAAAAATAAAAATAATATGTACATACATTAAGAATACTAAAATCGAGAAAGTTTTAACTTAAGCAATTGACTGTAGAAGTAAAACTATCATCAAGAAAAGTAAAGTTACGCTCACTTTTATCTCAACAAAGAACTTGGACAATTAAATAACTTTTAGAAAACAAATATGTTAAATTTAACATATAGATAAATATATTTTATGATAACATATTTTGTTGTGATTTATATAAGACACATTCATGTGGAAGTTAAGTGAGAGTGTTATACATAAATTCTTTGATGTATCAAATGATATAATTATAAATCTACATGAGTGGTTGAAGTATAAGTTTAAATTTGTATGTGAAATTAAAATAAAGATGATATTAAGAATCATATGTATGATATTGCTAATAAAGCAACAACAATTTGCAAATATCTAAGCGAGATCTACATTTCAAAGCATTCAAAACATGTTATGATATTGGTTTTAAGTTTATCTTTTTATCCGCAACAAAATCATCATAATTGTGTTTCTAGGTTTTCATATGAACAATCCCACTAAAAGACCTCTGTTGTTACTTTGCTAGTAGTAAGTGAAGGAAACAATATAACCACACAAACAATTTTTGATTTAATGAAAGAAAATACCTAATAATTATGATATACTTGGGTTCATTCTTTATAAGTCTAACTTAATTAGGTAATTGATTATGTTCTAACTAGAATTTGAGTTTTCTAACAAGCTTGCTTTTTGTGTTTGACCTTATAAGTTCTTTGCATATTGAATTATAATTTTTATATTTAATATCATAAATAGTTAGTGATATCTAATAATACTTCATTATCATCTAAATATCAAGAATGTTATTAAAATTGACACAATTTATTTATGTGATAATATATATTATATGATTAGTTCTTTTGTTCATATACTAATTAAGCACAAGACATGTGTAACACCTTTATTTTTATTATTATGGTAATTTATTACACTTTGTTTTTAAATAGAAAATTTTATAATTTTGAAAAATATAGGAGATCTCGCTTAAGCGAGATGATTCTCGCTCAAGCAAGAATGGATAGAATCATCCCAACTGTTCTCTCACCCAGGTGAGAAGGTATCTCGCCCAAGTTAGAAGTCATAGAAAAAATGAGAGCTTTCTGAACCAGGTCTCGCTCAAGTGAAATTATTAGAAAAGAGAGTAAATATTTTTATCTGGTGTTCTCGCCAGGCAAGAAGGATCTCGTGCAGGCGAGAATGTCTCTCGCTTAAGCGAGAAGTTATGAGCCAAAATGGGTATTTAAGGAATTTTCTTGTTTTAAAACCTATATTACAAGACAAATACCTCTCCTCACTTTTTCTCTCTATTCTCTCTCTTCTCTTTCGCAGAGAAAACCTCTTTAAAACTCTGAGCCTCTCTTATATCCGAGCTTGGACGTCTCTTCCTCTTAATTCCAAGTAAATTTCTCTGAGTTTAGTATCTCATTCTCACTTCTATTTTCTCCCTTTTCTCCTTTCTCAAAAGTATGCTACTTTGTAATATATATAGGAAGAACTTAGTCTTTTAGACAATATCTTCTATGAAACTCTTCACAAAACATTCCTTAAGGTAAAGAGGGTTATATCCCATCAATTTTAGCTTTAACTATAGAACATCCTTCCATTTTCATATACATGGTCTGTTCAGTATATGGTTTCCTAATTAAAATCTTATACTCCTCAACTTTTCACTCAAACATCAAACTAAGGTACTTTACTTTCTCCTCTCCAATTGTTTAAGGACAAAAGGAGATATTACTCAATTCCTTCAAAGGGAAGTGTGTTACTATATACTTGACCATAAACTAACGTTCTATTAAGTAAATTCAATGCAAGTAAAAATCATGAAGTCTTTCTCAAGTTATAATGTGGTCACAAGAGTCTTAATGATCTTAGGTGAGATAGTTGAAAAGGAAGGTCATACAAAAAAGGGTAAGCTATAAAAGTAAACAAACAACCCTTAAGTTTATAATGAAGTTGTTGGAGTGTCTCACATATATTATATGCAACTAATTTCTTACTATTCATTTCTTTCTTTTATTTGTACTCATTTTGTTTTGTTTTCTTTTTGCTATTTTCATGTTTTATTTTATTTTCACATAATTTTTCTTTCTTTTTACGTGTAAGAGAAGAAGTAAAGGAGAATACATACTAAAAATAATGCTACTTCTTAAACATTTTAACCTAATTGCTCCATTTATAAACTCAAATTCATCAAAATATTTTATATAATTTGATGCAAGGGACCAAGAGTAAATTCATTAATCAATCAAGCTCAAAAAGAGCAACTGATGTATTCAAACATTCTGAAGGTTAAGAAAAGAATCATATTATGCCTCAATTATATTAAAATATGCAATTAAATAAAATAGCTTCAAGTTGGTTACAAGTCAAATTCTAGAACCCAAATCCTAAGAGGAAAACTATACATAACAACAAGAAAAGAGGTATCATGAATTAAATTAGGATAAAAATCCTTATAAAAGTTATGTAAGTTAAGTTTAATGTAGAGCAGAAAAATAGGAAATTTAGCTAATTATCATTTTCCTAATCGCAGTCCGTAATTCAATAATAATCATTCAACATATTTTTCTATCTAAAAAAATTGGGTTCTTTGAGGACAAAAGTTTCAAATAATCAAAGTAAAAGGGTGCATTGGAATTCACTTAAGAACATCCAATAAGAAACATATTATTGGGTAATCCTCTTATACTTAAAGTGCAACATTGCCCTTCATGTTAAGAAGAAAAGAAAAAGACAATTAAATGAAAAGAAGGAAACTTCTTGATAAATTTGTTGAACTTGCGTGATGTGGAAGGGGTAAGTAATAGCTTTGAAGGAAGAACCCTTGGCAAGACGGGGTCTTATTGGGTGCAGTAGTCTCTGGAGGGAAAGCACAATTGTGCTAAGTGTTATGCATAGGCTTGCATGTTGAAATTGTAGAGAGAAGCATAATGATGCTTTAGGGAAGCACACTTGTGCATGTCTGTAATTCCAGAAACTTACTCCCATATACTTATTTTCCTAGAATTCTTGTAAACACAATAGTATGAAAAATGATAAAATTGATAAAGTAATGTAAAAGAAACTAAAATTAAAATAAAAGATGCAGACTATCTCCTATGAGCACTTGTTTAGCGTTGCAAGCCTGATGTATCATTCTCTAAGCTAAGTAGGACTATAAGCGGGCTTGGTTTTATAAGATCCAAGCATCTTTGATTCTAACTTTCTGAACCATGGAAGGAAAATGTTGAAGATCTACTTTAGGAGGTTATTTATTTGATGAGTTGCCTTTTGTCTAGTTAAACTTCTTCTATACCTCAATTTACTTATGCTTTTCCAAGTCCCCTTACCTAATGCAGTATCTAAGGTCATAAGCTTCTTTTTTACGTTCTCTAGGTGGTGCAAGCGATTCTTCTTAATCTCTAACAACCTTTTCAATTTATCTTGCATACACACATTATGTATAGAAGAAGAATAAGGAGCTCACAAGGTATCTAAAGCACAAATAGACAAACATTTATCATGAGTAGATTGGTGATTCAAGATTAGTGGTTCAAGGAATCAAACACTTCAAACACCACTTCTTCATGATTCAGTTTTATAGTTAGCTTCCCATGTTGTACATTAATCAGTGTTCTAGTTGTGGCCAAAAAGTGTCTGCTCAAGATAATTGAGACTTCATCTTTTTAGTATCACAAAGTCTACAAGAAATATGAACTTTTCCACCTTCACAAGTACATCTTGTACTATGCCCCTAAGATATTTGATTGACCTATCTACTAGTTGAAGTGATAGGGTAATTGGCTTAAGTTCCTTCATTCCAAGTTTCTTGAAAATAGAAAAGGGCATAAGGTTAATAATGA